CACCGCCATTGTCAAATCCACCATCATAACCATCATCATCAAAAACCGTGTCATCATAAACTACTGTGTTATATGGATTCTCATCAAGATCAGTGGTGCTGTAGTTGGAGTGGTCATAATAACTAGAGTGGGTGGATTGATCTGGTTGGTGATTGACATGATGTGAATGGAGAAAAGGGTTGTTGGAATCATTGGATGTTGAGTCAACATATTGATTTTGGTTGTCAGCTACTTCACTTGGAATGTGACAGAGTGGTTCTTGATTTAACTGAGGAGTTGATGAAGTTTTCTGGGTAAGAGTCTGAGTTGGTTGATCAAGGTTGGTGATGGCATATTGCCGGAAAGATTCAATCCGGCTCGCAGGTCCTAAGATTCATAGTTGTTCAAATTGATCGGCCGACAGAGTCCTAGCCCAGCAATCAACATCTCTTGCACTGTAGTTGTCCATGCTAAAAGCCGGTTCAGGGACCCAAGGATTGTTGGATTGTGGCACAACCTCAGGTAGGACTTCAGGATCACAGTTGTCAGACACTGTCTCGGAGGCCTGTTCTTGTTCTGAAAGATCATCAACATGTTCATCTAGATCGTTAGGGCACTCGTTGTCTAGATGATTACAATTGCTAGGACACTTGTCATTTCTAAAGCCGGACTCTTCATGAACATCTTGGCCATCTTCAGGTCCTTGTAAGTAGGGTTTGTTGTGTTCAACTGCCTCGCTAGATGGATGATCAGCTTCAAAGCTGTGTGGAGGAGTTTGGTATCGGACGTTCGGCTGGGTTTGTCTGGAGCGTTTGGGTACACTCAGTGGCTGGTAATTCATGTACGGCATATCAGTGTTATTGACTGGTTGCTGTCTCATCAGTTGATTCATTTTGTCTCTTGGTCTCTTCTCAATCTCATAATGCTTATTTGCTGACTTCAATTGCGGGAGCCAATGCTCATTAGGGAAGTTCTGAGCGCAGATTCTTGAGTGTGTTTTCCTCCAAGATTGCGAACAAGCAGTTGGTCGTTTTGACAAGAACTGTTGATGAGGATTGCGGAGGTCAAGGTTTCGAGGAAATCTGATAGGATAGAAGTTTGGCAAAGGTCCGCAAGTAGTTGCATGTGAGACCGGTCCTAAAACAAGATTCAAATTGGCTAAGAACTGCCGAATCCGATTATAAGCGCTGTGTGAAGGATCCATTTTTAAGTAGAGTGTGAGAAATAATAAAAAAATATAAGATTTCAAGTAATCAAGCTGGTATTCCTCCGTCGGCAAGATAAAATGTAGGTCCGGTATGATTCTTCGGGTCGAGATTCTTCAGCGTAGCCGAAGACTTGGGAGAATTGAGCCGGTAAGATTTGTCGGCAAGTTTTTGGAAGGTCGATCCGGTATTATTCGTCGGCAAGATTTCTTCAGCGGAGCTGGTAACGCAGGCTCATAACCTGTACACCACCGGGCCAGTCAAATGGTTACACAACCCTCCTTTGAAGGGTTGTGCAACGGTGAAATTTTGCTGAGGGACCGACGGTCCCACAACGTGATAAGGTCGTCGAGTACGGTTGGAGGAACGATAACTTCCCCATGCTCTAACGTTCCTCCAACCGGAAGTCTTCCGGTTGGGTTGCCCATCCGGTGGGTGATGGATACCTCCCACCGTGTGCTCACCTTTTCTGTGGTGGGTGCAACACATCACCGATCCGTTCTCATGACCGGTCTCTCCGACCTCTGGCACTCCGTACAGCTTCACGGATTCGATCCGGACAGATGACCCACCAATTCTTCCGCTTTTTTCTGCTTTGGGATGCGGATCATCCATTTGACTTTTGAACGATCGATTGATCATTGTATTTTTACTCATCGATACTTTCAATTGTTTTTTTTTGATTGCAATGTAAAAGTAGTTACATATCTGGTTGCGATGTAATAGTAGTTATTGGATACAAATGCAACGTGTTACAGTATGGTATGAAAATGAGAAATGAGAATTTTTTGACCCCTTATTACGAGTCTTTTCTGTGCTGCATAAGCATCAAATTGGAGAGGTTAATTGTAAGCTCACTCAATTCTCAATCAAGTGGATCAAGTGTTATTTCGTTGATCGTGCGCGGTGGCCATGGCTTGCTGAACATCATCTTCGGTTGGAAGCACAGAGACATCGAGTTGGATTGAGGCAAACTTGTTTGGTGAGCCAAAAAAGTACCTATCCTTTCGGATAATCAAATCGGACCATCTAGTATTCACAAAACAAGATGGTAAAGGTGAATCAAACTGGATCACACGGAAAGATACCAAGCAAAAGACGTACGCTATAAAATAATCAGCACCTTTTGTTTTAAGAAACTGTAGCTGTTTATCGATCGGTCCCCATTGAGCCGCCCGAGCAGATGATGTACCCATAGCGTAGATGATTGTTTCCAGTCGCATGTAGGCAAACCGAACCTGAACATTAAGTGGAATCTTATCAGGGGTAAAAAACTCGCCGCCATAAGGTAGATGCTGTTGAATCTGTTGTTAAATATCAGCCTGCAAATCATCTTTGAAGTATGAGATTGCTGAGGATCTTACATGGCTGTAGAGTTTTGAAAGTGTCAGAACGTCTCCACTTGCCGACTTGGAAACACTGTTGGGAACAATGTTTAAAAGCAACTTATGTGTAAAGGCAAAATGTTTCATGATTTAGTGTATGGCTGACAACAAAGCAAGCCGATTAATGCAATCAATTTGAACGTACACATCCACGGAGTGTCCCCTTCTCCGATTTGATTGTTTCATGAATCTGTTCCCTCACCGCCTGGAGAACAGCTTGGTTCTGGTCGATAAACCCTGTAGGCAATAGCGACTTCTTGTCGTGTAGAGAAAGCTCAGCTATGAATCTCTATGAGGGTAGGGAGTAAGGGGTTAATATTTTCAAGTCTCAAGTTGATCTAGGAGAACTGAAGATTACTCACATTTGTCATACGCAAAAGTGAAGCTGCGATTATTTCCCCAGTATTGGTATCATGCTCCAAGCTGTATGTATCAAGCTTGCATTCCATTAGAGTCTTTCGGACAAAATTCCTGAGGTTGGTCTGTGAAATAAAAAATCAATACCATTACACAATGATAATCCAAAAGGAATTGCGACTTGAACCTGTATAGAACTTGACTTACCTTGATGAGATCGCCCAGTCTGATCTTTTGGACTTTTGTCACTCCAATTGGGTGTACGTCTGACGAGCTAGCCTGAGTTTGGCTTGCTTTTCCATGACTTGAGATTGCACTGTAGACGATGGCAGCCTGTTGATTAGCCGGGCTCATCTACATCAAAGTCCGATATCACACTATGATCAGCCAATGGGAAAGAGTCAAGAGCTGATCAGGAGAAAAACGTACCTGCAATATCTCCCGAGCCACACCAGCCTCATTAATAGTCAAACTAAACATTTTTCGTAACAAATCGTGGTTGACCTCGTCATCGATTGGATTTTCAGGGCCTGGGATGGTGGTAGAATGCTGTTGAGTGTGTGAGTGATCTAGCAAGAGGAGAGAATTCCTAGGATTGGATGGAGTACGATGTTGTAGGGTGGATTTGTTTGGATCAAATTCAGATGGTTCAGCTGGGTTCATAAAGTCGTTTTCGTCCTCTTCAGGTTCACCAGGGGCATCTTCATCTATGGATGCGGAACCGATTGACCTTGATAGTCGTCCAGTTTCCCTTCGCTTCTCCGATCCTTGTCGCATGTTACTTCTACAAGAGCCTGGGTCTGAAAGAGGAACAACAACATCAGTTTGACCAACTGTGTTTGAAATCAAATCGTTATATTTTTTCACCTAATGGGTTTCTGAAAGTACGATTGAAAGGCAAGGGGTTTAATTGTGACTGGGTTTGATGATGACTCAAGCTGGGAGTTCCAGAAAGTGGGAGATAAGAGGAGACAGAAACATGATCATTTTCTTGGGGATTGCCCCATCTAGCCATCGTTTGATTTTGCCAGTGTTGGGATTGAGAATTGGAGGTTGGTTGATTATTACTCCACGACTGATTTGTCATGGTGGTAGAACAATCAAGACAGAAATAGGACAAGAGGCTGGAGTTGTTTTGAGGGATCAGAACTGAGGAAAATGTGTGGTTGGGAGAGAGAACAAAAGGTTGCGAACAGAAATTCAAATGGGTTGCTTTTTTTGGGCTGAGCTGCAGTGAGGTGAGTTCATGTTTTTTCACACAGCGGTTGAACTTATTGCGGGCACAGAAACAGCTCCTCTCGTGCAAGCATCCAGGGTCTTTCGTCAAGAATCAACCAAAAAATGGATGACGAGGGTGAGTTTAAATTTCTTTTTGACAATATCTATGACTCCAGCTGACATGAATCCACCAGGCTTCATACAACACGAGACGGAGAATGGAATTCTATACAGATGTGATGTTTGTGGACCGAAACTTATGCAAGAAAAACAGAAGGTCCGACACAAACAATCTGATGCACACAAAAAGAGAGTGAACGACCGGGACAACTTTCCCTTGCACCACAAAAGAGCCGTTACACCAGATGAAAGACGAGTAGAGGCTCCAATTGAAGACCCAGTGATCAATTCCTTGGATTTTGAACCTGAACAGGATACTTCTCCATTGTTACCGAATTCACCCACCACGATCTCAATGTTACTTATCCAGCAGCTTCAGCAAGACAAGGCAAATGAAGAGAGTTCTAGTGAAGATCAGAGTTCGCAAATCAACTGGAAGGACTGGTTGGAAGTCGAATTAGAGAGGATTCGGGGAGATTTAGACTTGGACAATCCACGTGACGAGTTTGACGAGAATGAGGAGGACGATATTCCTGGGCAAGAAGATCAACATGAGTGGACCCCATTTAAAAGTAAAATGGTCAGTAATACACTTGGAATATTGAAATCACATGAATGCATTAAATAAACAGAAACAATAAGCTAATCTTTACATTCTTTGAACAATCTAGGAGTTTGTCGGATCAATACTCGTTGGTTATACTCAAAATTTACTTTCCAGGACTTTGTTCGACCTGATATGCGTGATACTTAATGGACTGTGTCAGCTCAAGATCCCTACGTGGTCTACGATTAGGCGTTCACAGAAAAGGATCAGGGCGCATTTTCAGATGGAAGTTATAATGAAAGACAGTGTATGGGGTATGCCATGTGCAGCCCTCAGTTCAAGATGTGCACTTCAACAGGTATGATACCAATTCAATTCAATCATCACTAGAGACTGTATTGGTAGAACAAACTATTTATTAATTCCATCTTATGATTGTATTCAGGATCTAGCCAACCCTCTTGTAGCACCTTTCATTGATTTTTATCCAGAAGATCCTCAAGGATGTAACCAGTACAAGCTCTCCCAATCGAAAAAGTGGCTTGAAATGCCATCATCATTACAAACACAGATGTGTGTAAATAATAAAAAGCATTTCTACATTTTCGAACCCGTCAAAACTTATTCAAATCAGATTCTAGTTCCAATTTTCCTATACCTGATCAATGGCGAGTTACATGCAAAGTGTGCACTTCCAACACTCAAGAGGATCAGTCATTCAAAATTCCAGTTGGAAATCGAAGGCGACCTCACTTTTGATGACCCAAGTCTTTTTCTTGTTCATACAAAGGAATTCAACAAGGAATACTCTGAAATCAAAATAGATCGTGATCTTTTATCTACGGTGTGTTCGAATGAGTTGTATGGAATGAACAACAATATTTCAGTCAAGATCGACCTACCAAATCCTTGGAGGACTAAAGCTGGAGGGAAAATCTTACGACATGTGCCAATCAGCTTGTATGCTGATGACACTTCTGGAAATATTTTGAAGTGCTGGAATAAACACCTATCTTTTTACTTCACTTTATCTGGCCTTCCTCCGAATCTGTCCAACCAAGAATTCAATTGCCACTTCTTGGCTACTTCAAATCGAGCTGGTGTTTTAGAGTTAGCCGAGATTATTGTTGATGAATTAAAGTATGTAGATTTCCTTCATAATAGCTGTTGGATCCTGCTAATTTCTGATTTTGAATATTTGTGAACCTTTGAATTTTGATGTAGTGACCTTGCCACCAATGGATTTGAAGCATACGATGCAGCAATTTCTGAGCCGGTTTTCGTCATGACTAGTGTTCTATTCTTTCTAGGGGATTCTCCGATGCACTCCGAAATAACCAACACCCCTTATCCTGGTTCTGCACTTAATCCGTGTTGTATTTGCACACTCTCTGCGCCAAGCCTAGCCGCCAAACATCGAAAGGATTTCATGTACAAATTCTTGCATCTTGATCGACATGGAAACGTGACAAGAAATCGACCCAGAGTGTGGCTAGAAACCATCAAACAGACTCACAAGCTTTTCAAGGTGGCGACAGAAGATACTATTGTGGCTTTTGACACTCTGTCAAAAGAGTATGGTGTCAAAGATCGGATTAACGAGAAGTTCATCGAACAGCAAGGGATTGCCAAAGTCAAGGCAAAAATCAATGACCTGAAGGCCAATAAGTTTTTGCGCTTATTCAACCCTTTCTTGAGACTGATAGGTCAGCTTCATCATAGATCCAACAATTTTTTCTTGGTTTAATATTGATTGCTTTTCCAATACAGGTTTTGATGGCTGCCTTGACACTCCGGTTGAGATTCTTCACGTTTTTTTACTCGGGGTTGTCAAGTATCTGGTCCACGATTTTGTTGGAAAGCTCTCTGAGAAACAAAAAGACGAACTCGAGGGTCGTATTGAGTCATTCAACACCAGCTCGTTGAATATGCCGAAGCTGCAACCCAAATATCTAGTTTTGCATGTCAAATCATTAATCGGCAAGGAGTTTAAAATCTTCCTTCAAGCTGCTCCATTCATCCTTTTCCCTTTTATGGATGAAGATCAAAGAGAAATTTGGATTTCTTTATGCACCCTCTCTTCTTATGCCTTTCAGACACACATCAATAACATGGAAGATTTCCAGCTCAATCTTCGAAAACACACAGCCAACTTTTTTTATCGGATCATACGAGTCACTGCCCAGTGGTTGAACAAACCAAAGTTTCACATTTTACTTCATCTTGCGGATTCCATCCGTCGGTTTGGACCCGCTACACTCTTTTCAACGGAAAAGTTCGAGTCGTATAACGGTGTTCTCCGGACTGCATCAACCCATTCGAATCGAATTTGCCCTGGAAGAGACATTGCAATTAAGTTTGCTAACTTCCATGCCCTATGATTCTCCTTATCCGGTGGTGTTTCATACAATAAAAACAGTCAAACTGCTACTCAATCCTCGCCTGAGCTTCTCGACTTTTTTTGAAACACCAGGTCCATCCAAGACTCAATGGGATATGATCCAACACTTTCCGTCTTAATCCCAAATTATCCTTTTATGAAGAATATCAAGTTGAACAAAGATGACAAAGTAAACTGCCCTGCAGCATTACAAGATCAATTTCCAACTCGCGAATTCGAACAAGTATCTTCTCTACAGCTAAATAAACACGAGAATATCAAAAAGGATCATTTTGTTCTGGTATAAATCTCCTGCTTGTTTTCTATGTTTTGAGAATCTAATATGTCAGCCACAGAGTACATGTCACAGTACCTTTCATGTACCAAGTAACTGCAACACCTGTACTTATGTACATAAGGACTTATCCATAATGTTGATTACCTTTACCTCTTGTTATCTTATCTTTATTATTAACTTATCTTATTTATCTTACAGTTATCTTATCTGTTAATTACTTATCTATTAAATACATACCTGTGTTCTACATAAGTAATTATCACTTACCTTTCACTCCCTTGTCCGTGAAATACCTGTACCACAAGTTATCCCTCTGCTACAGTATTTTCACGGTCAAATCCCCATCAAACCTGAGAAATTCTACAGTTGTAACAGTAAATTGAACCCTATGGGAATTATAACTCTAGATATTATATTTCCTCATGCTAAGAATAACATACAAATCACGGTAGAATTAATTGTAATGGAAGACTTTAGAATGAAATACATCATTTTAGGAAATGATTACATAATTAATTACGGGATAGATGTTATAAATAGCAATGGCAGATATTTTACTATCAATGGAGACTTATCTACTAAATTTGAACTTGGTATCACTGATAAAATGAATTTAGTACAACTAGAATGTAATGCTTTAGAAGATAATAATTTTGGAAATACTATTGAAGAAGCAAAAATTTCTAGTACTTTAACAGAAGAAGAAAAGTCACAGTTATATTCTTTACTACATAAAAAGAAATTAGCCTTTGCTACTACTGATGAACCCTTTGGACGTATAAAAGGACATGAAGTCAGAATTAATCTTAATACTTCTAGACCTTACCCTCCAGCATTAAGAAAAGCTGCATACCCAGCATCCCCAAGAAGCAGAGAAGCCTTACAACAACATGTAACTGACTTAGTAAAAATGAATGTACTTAGAAAAGTTGGTGCCAATGAAAATGTTGAAGTAACTACTCCTGTAATTATTGCGTGGCATAATGGTAAATCTAGAATGGTTGGAGATTTCAGAGCTCTCAACAATTACACAATTGCTGATAGATATCCAATGCCTAAAATAAGTGAAGCCATCACGCAACTACAAAATGCTAAATATATTACGTGTATGGATGTACTTAAAGGATTTCATCAAAATGTTATTCATGAAGATAGTAGACACTTAATGAGAATTATTCTACATATGGGTATTTATGAATATTTGAGAATGCCCTTTGGAATTAAAAATGCACCCTCTCACTTCCAAAGAATGATGGATACTGAATTTCATAAAGAATTACGTGAAGGATGGCTAATAATTTATATTGATGACATTATTATTTTTAGCACTGAATGGAATGACCACCTTGACAAATTAAAAATTGTTCTAGAAAGAATTATAAAAATGAATATGAAGATCTCTATGAACAAATGTCAATTTGGTTTTCAAGAACTTAAAGCATTAGGCCACATAGTTTCAGGATTGAGCATAGCTATAGATAAAAATAAAGTAGCTGCAGTAATGTTAAAACCTATGCCCACTAATGTTAAAGAAATACAGTCATTCCTTGGTTTTGCTAGTTATTATAGACAACACATTAAAGATTTTGCCAAAGTAACAGGTTGTCTATATAAATTAAGTAGCCCAAACACTGCTTTTGAGATGACAGTAGATAGAGTAGCTGCATTTAATAAATTACGTGAATTACTTACTTCTGCTCCTATATTATTTATGCCTAATCCTAATAAGCCTTATAAATTATATGTAGATGCTAGTATGGAAGGATTAGGAGCTGCCTTACACCAAATTCAAGATCAAGAAATACCAAAAGAAGGAGTCATTTGTTATATTTCTAGAACATTGAAAGACAGTGAGAAAAAATATGGGGCCAGCCAACTTGAATGTTTATGTTTAGTCTGGGCCCTAGATAAATTATATTATTACCTTGATGGATGTGAATTTGAAGTCATTACTGATTGTACAGCCCTCAAAAGTTTATTAAGTATGAAAACTCCAAATAGACACATGCTCAGATGGCAAATAGCTATTCAAGAATGGAGAGGAAGTATGACTATCAAACATAGAGAAGGTAATATACATAAAAATGCTGATGGACTTAGTAGATGGTCTTTGGAAAATATACCAGACAACCCAGCATGGGACGGAGAAATTGCTGCAAAAATTATGTGTTTATTCCCAGAGGAAAATAATGAAAATAATCCTGCCTTTGATGATAACAAGGATGATATTAATATTTGTGGGTTACACGTGACTGAAATGCAAGAAGAATTTTGGGATGAAATTAGAATTAGTTATGACCAAAATAAAAATTGCTCCACAATAAAAAATATATTACAAAGTAATTTCAAAAATAATGATCTGATCAATTCCTTAGAAGAACCATGGCTTAGCTCATTCAAAGAAAATAGATTCTCCCTATTAGATGGATTAATTTACCACAGAATTAAACATACAAGTGTAGTAGTTATTTGTTTAAAAGAACACATTAATTTATTTTTGAAAGAATGTCACGACAATATATCCTCAGCTCATTTTTCCTTTGACAGAACAATTGAGAGAGTTAAACAAATTGCTTGGTGGCCTAATTTTAGAAATGATACCAAAGATTATTGTGAATCTTGTGACAGATGCCAAAAAGCAAATAAAGCTACAGGAAAAAGATATGGATTATTGCAAGAAATTGAAGAACCCAAAGAAAGATGGTCTGTTATTAACATGGATTTTGTTACTGGCTTACCACCCGGAGGACCTAATAATTTCAATGCAATTTTAGTAGTAGTTGATAGATTTTCCAAAAGAGCAAGATTTCTACCATGTCATAAAGAAGATACAGCAATGGATACTGCCTTATTATTTTGGAATTCTATTATTTATGATGTTGGATGTCCCAGATATATCATTACAGACAGAGACCCTAAATTTACGTCAGAATTTTGGAGAAATTTATATGATTTATGTGGGACACAACTGAAATTTTCTACAGCTTACCACCCCCAAACAGATGGACTAGCTGAAAGAATGATTCAAACTTTGGAAGACATGATCAGAAGATATTGTGCCTATGGAATGACATTTAAGGATAAAGACAACTATACTCATGATTGGTGTTCATTATTACCTGCACTTGAATATGCTTACAATTCTAGCAAACACAGTACAACAAATAAAACACCTTATGAATTGGAAAGAGGTTGGACTCCTTGGTTTCCCAAAGAAATTTTAATGTCAAAAGCAGTACATATACACCCAAGTGCCTCTGATTTTCATTTTATGATGACCAAAGCTGAAAAATATGCAGCAGAATGCGTGAAATTAGCTGTAGATTACAACAAAACTAGATGGGATAAAACTCACAAAGCTCACCAGTTTAAAGTGGGAGACCAAGTCTTGATATCTACATTTAATTTTACAAACCTGACTGGACCTAAAAAATTAAGAGATTCTTTTGTAGGACCTTTTACAATCAAACAATTACACGGTGCAAATGCTGTTGAAGTTATACTCACTGGAGACTTAGAAAGAAAACACCCTACATTTCCAGTCAGTCTAATTAAACCATACAAAACTAGTAATAATGATAAATTTCCTTTAAGAAAAGATAACATCAGAGTTGTAATACCTCCTTTAGAGAAAGAAGAAGTTAAAATTAAGAAGATATTACAACATAGAAAAATCAGAAAAAACAATGAAGACATTAAACAGTATTTAGTAAGATACAGTGGTACCAAAGAAGATGAATGGCTTACAGTTGATAAAATACCTGATGCTGATAAAATTCTCAGACAATACAGAGCTGATAAAAGAAAATAACATTAATTTATTTCTTGGATCAGCCTTTTTTAGAGGGAGGAAGTGTCAGCCACAGAGTACATGTCACAGTACCTTTCATGTACCAAGTAACTGCAACACCTGTACTTATGTACATAAGTACTTATCCATAATGTTGATTACCTTTACCTCTTGTTATCTTATCTTTATTATTAACTTATCTTATTTATCTTACAGTTATCTTATCTGTTAATTACTTATCTATTAAATACATACCTGTGTTCTACATAAGTAATTATCACTTACCTTTCACTCCCTTGTCCGTGAAATACCTGTACCACAAGTTATCCCTCTGCTACAGTATTTTCACGGTCAAATATTATTACAAATAAATATGTACATGTATTAAATAATAAGTATTAAGTGTCAATAGAATTAATACATTCAATACATGCACTGATCACAATTATGACTACATTATTAGAGGATCTGTTAAGTACACGCATCAAGAGCTACTAGTACATTGATCAACTAGTACACAATTATGATGTCACTTACAGATCATGACAAATAATGATCAGTCACTCAATTGATGTGCTCATTCTCCTGGCCAAAGCTCCCTTGATTCTGAGCGCTCATTCTTTCCCCCCTTCAATATTCTGGAACTTATAATCCGTGCCTCTTTCACTGATTAATCCCCAGAATATTCAGACACCAGTTAAAACAGTTAACATTTATATTGATACAGTACCCGTAACCAACATAAATCTTGTCTACATTTATTGTTCTTAAGCTTCAGTACTCTTACTCAACTTATCCACAGTATTCATAGCCTTGCTGAATATTCCCATTAACAATACCTGTTAATCTTCAACTAATTTTGTTAAAGTTTAATAAGTATTGTTAGCCCATTCCTTAGGGGAATAACCAAATC